TTTAAACGTAGAAATGCGTACGTAATAACGTTCAATGCAAACGATATAAAAGGGTAAAATCTTACCTTTAAAACTGCTACGTACAGTTGCAACTTCTGGAACAAAAGACGAATTAGAAAAAGAATGTACGCAAAAATGCCGAAATGGCTGCGAGATTAGGATTTCTGAAGGGCATGCGTTTTTAAACCGAGGTGAAAGGATCTAACGCCAATAGGTAGCTACATATTGGATCCACTATTTAAAAACTTAGGTACCCATTTTTGATCCCTGAAGAAAAAAAAACCAAAAATTGTTTACGCACTACACAAACACGCACGCAATCACACCACTTTATACAATGCAACTAATTCGGGCGTATCGACGTAGCACACCTGGTATTGTTCGACAAGATAAGAAAACAGGTGTCGATAAGGAGAGCGTCTTGTTTAATGTTAATAAAACAGAGACGCCGTTTATTCGGGTTTTAAGTAAGGAACGATTGGTTCCCCTACTTCGATTCTTTACTTAATTTTTAAATCGTGTAATTTTTGCCCTTATGCCTTCGTGCTTGATTTGCACCTCTTAAACATTTTCCCAATTGAAAAAAACTGCTTTCATGCATCATAGCAAAAGATCAAGTTAACCTTAAAATTGGGTAAAAGACTGCAGTATCTGGGAGCCTTTCCTGAATGAAGTTATTAGGAAATTTTACTCTAAGGAGCAACACCTGTGAGGCCCCTTTGTAGGTACTTCCGCTTAAGATGATGAAATTAGTCCTGAATGCTAAAAAATCCTTTTTAAGGGAAGGTAAAACAAACTCCGCGATATATTTTTTTACTAAAATTGAATGCAATGACAATGGCAGGTTTTCTTGCACTTTTTCAAATTATTCTGTCAAAGTTGAAAGTTAAATTACGCTAGGAGGGTGCATTTCTATAAGTTTTATACCAGAGAGTATACAGGGTGGTCGATACAGATAAATTTAAAATTTTAGTAAATTTCGATGTGTGGGGAAATGATTGGCAACAGTTTGTCGGAGTAACAAGAGAAGTCATAATTAGTTTTACGTGCTCCAAACCCTAGATTCAGGAATAGGCCAGCTGCTGTATTCTATAAGAATGCAATTCTGCAGAAAAGTCGATGTGTGGGTTCTGGAGGAACAGCCTAATTAGCGTGATTTTTGGGGGATGGGGAACGATACCGCTCGCGTCTAATTTTGCAAAAAAAATTCATTCCCAGTAATTGGGATTACTCATCCTTAAACGGCTATTATGACTAATAACTTTCCAACATCTGTAGGTACCTATTGTCAAAGTGTATTTAAACGTATAGAAATACCAAATACGTATACGTAATAACGTTCAATGCAAACGATATAAAAGGGTAAAATCTTACCTTTAAAATTGCTTCGTAGTTGCAACTTCTGGAACAAAAGGCGAATTAGAAAAAGAATGCCGAAATGGCTGCGAGATTAGGATTTCTGACGTGCATGCGTTTTTAAACCGAGATGAAGGGATCTAACGCCAATAGGTAGGCACATATTACATCCACCATTTGAAAACTTACCCATTTTTGATCCCCGAAGAAAAAAAAACCAAAAATTGTTTTTTTTCACTACTAGTGTCTGATGACATGATTATTAACCTTTTTTCCACTTGTAAAGTAGGCTTTCTCGGCATTTGTTCAAAGTGGTTAATAATGTGGATATTATTAACTAGTAGTCAATAATGAGAACTGTCACGCTGTCACTTTTAGAAAACACAACCCGAAATTTCGCTCAATGAACGTTTAGACAAGTTCTCTAAAACGAATAATTGCCACCATTCGCAATTTCCAGAGAAATTACATACCTAAAATTATCACATTTTGAAAAAATTCGAACGAAATTACTCTTTGAAAAATCTCAATGACAGAACAAAATACGGCCTGTTTGACTTGTACTTCCACGTACTTGATTGACGTGTTAAATTAAGAAACAAACAATTCTGTCCAACCGTTAACTCTCTTATCAATATAATATGTTAATTTAGAGGATTTCAAGTGCTAGTAGTGAAAAAAATAGTATATATACCACGGTAGAGAAGTCTATTATTGCCTTCGCACCTTACACCCCTCGGCGCAAGCGCCTCGAGATGTAATCNTTAAATAAAGGTCTTTCTTTTATACATAAGCTTACAGGTTTACTGTATCACAGTTAGATAATTAAATTTAAATCTTGTAAGATTATTTTTGTTGAATTTTTGCTACTCTGATTAATCCCAACCGGCAACCGCGATGTAAATGTAAGTAATATAATAAATAAACCAATAAACGATACTAACCGCGGCGCCTTTCGGTACTTGGCGCCGGGTAGCAATTGCAACCCCTACTACCTCGATAGCTACGCCACTGTAAAACAGAGACGCCGTTTATTCGGGTTTTAAGTAAGAAAAGATTGGTTCCCCTACTTCGATTCTTTACTTAATTTTGCAACTCGCGTAATTTTTGCCCTTATACTCTTCTTGCTTGGTTTGCACCTCTTAAACATTTTCCCAATTTAAAAAAATGCTTTCATACATCATAGCAAAAGATCAAGTTAATCTTAAAATTGGGTAAAAGACTGGGAGCCTTTCCTGAATGAAGTTATTACGATATTAATTACACAATTTACGATGAGGACAAAAAACGAAAAACGATTTAATAGTTGCCAATTAAAAAGTATAAGGCACTGCAGGTTATACAAATAAGAATCTTGACTTTAGAGTCAGTATATTATATACCATGGTGTATAATTATAGGTAGGTACGTTAATTAAATGCTTTCCGACTGAAACGTGCTAACACCTTCATTTGTGCTGATTTGTGGGCAAATATTAACGGAGGTATAGAATTTTCAATATACCTAATGCGACGAATGAAGGTTTCCATTCACCACCAATCCCATTTCTGCATTATGCCCAGTATTTGTGCGGATTTCGCCACCAACTTCTTGTTTTGTACGCAATTGGGACAATTGTTAACGTAGATTGAGAATTTTTAGTTTAAAGGTACACGTCTTCATGCTAAACACGAGTATTTCCAATTGCCTCTAAATCCGAATTGCGCTTGTCTTCTTATTCGAATATACAATAGCCGTTGACTTGTATATTTATTACAATGTTATAATTATAGTAATGAGTTTTGATTTTTTGGATAATTTATCCACTTGCACCCCGGGGGTTGCAACTTTTCTAGCGCACCGAAAATATTCATACATAATACCATAAGTAGGTAGTCGAAGTATTGGCGAATATTTTTGAGGTGCTGTCACGAATGCTAGTTGAAATAACCCTGGGTTGTTAAATCAAGGGTTTCTAACCCTATGAGCATTCGTCCTGACGTGGTCTTTGCACACAGTCGGACGACTTTCGTCCAGTGCTATTGGTTGGAATTGAAAACTCGTTCAGGTGGGATTTCGTCGTACAGTCTTTGTATAGAAGAATTCTTTCGAATCAAGTATGGTGGACACGTTTCCGCAGGTTACAAGAACGACACAAAAAATCATTTATAATGTCATATATATTTAAGTTCACAATATTCGCCAAACGTCGGCAATTCATGGGTGACATAAATCAACTTTTTTGAATCCCTCCTTAATCTAGCTAATTCTTTTGCGTTGTAACTTCTGACATTACGACAAAGCAATCATTTTTCAAATGAAACAGCTATGAATCCAAAAAAATGTTTAACAACGAACCTGGATTTAGCAATTAAGACCCAAACCATGGATAACAGAACTAGAGAAGTCTGATTTCCTCTATTAAGTGCCAGTTATAAAGTTGATACGTAACCCATTTAAAAAGCCTCTAACATGGAAGGTGGTAAGGTATAATAGTAAAACCTGACGATGTTAGTTTCCCCATGTGCGGAATTCGATTAAGTAATTTCATTAAAACGGCAATTGTAATAAATTTTAAAATCCCCCTTCCATCTTCCCTAAATTACAATTTCTAGTAGTTTACCAGGTAGTTATCTTAGTGAAACATATCAAATGTTGATGAGGAGTATGGAGATTAAATGTAAATCGCTTCTCAATGCGGTTACAAGCCGCAGTGCACTACTACTAAAGCAGTAACCGATTTAATTATTTCAAATTAATTTCCAAATTGCGATATTATAATCATTCCATTTGTTATTAAAGCGGGTAGGTTTTCGGTACCCTCTGTAGCTTTATATCTATAATTTATTATGCGAATGCTTAAATTAAACGTATTTCCGTTACATTGGCAATCAATAATTCATAATCCTATTGTAGTGAAATTGTTGCCCGATGAAATTAACAACTGAAAGCTGTGTATAATTGATAACTAAATTTATTATAATGTTTTTGGTTAGTGTTTGATATAGCTCCAGAACGAATTTAAACGATATTCATCGGAAATTATTAGAAATGTTCCATATATCGAGAAAAATGGAAACTATGATTTGTTAATTGAGTAATTGTTCCTACTTTTAATTAACACTCAAATTTTTCTATAGATGACTGGAGAAGAAAAAAAGAAAAACCGATGAGGTCACTAAAAGAAGTTCAAGAAACGAGAAGAAGATCTGGAGGCAACCAATTTAAGAACTAATTAATTCAAAACCCAAACCTTCGGTGCCCCAGGAAAATTAAAAGGCGGGTTTCATAGGAAAGTGAAGGTGACTGCTATCTCTTCGAAATAGGTTTTAACTTGTGACTTTATAGATGAACACGCCAACCCACCCCTCACTCGCACCCCACAATATATACTAAAACTAAATACATAATTACGCTACGATGCCGAAAGTTTATACCGTGAAAATCATGGCAATCTCACGATCTTACAGGCGCCTGGATCTTCTATGGACGAAAAGTGAATACGTTTAACAAGGCTCTCGCTGTTGGTATCGGATTTTGTGTTTTCTTTATCATTCATATCACCAACTATTCCGCTTTTAACAAACGGACGCGGTAACTTTTATGTTAATTGGCATTTAACGAAACCATCTAATCATGCTAAATTGAGTCCAGTTAAACTGGGCTGCCATCTTTCCCTTTACGGTAGTGGAACGACCTCACTTTCTTTGATCATACATTATACTGGAGCAAGTACTGGAGATACTAGAACATCTTGGACAATCTGCAACAAAGCATCATCAATAAATAAGAGACTCATTCATTCGCTGTGAATCATTGTAAATTTGGATTGGAATAGCGCAGGTAAGAGTTTCCCCTTTCTGCAGCACACGTCCACGTGGAAAAAGGTTTCCCTATCGGATACATTTTTATCGAATAATCTCATTATATGTACGTAACCTCTGTGGCTTGCTATATCAATAAAGTGCCTGATTGTGTTTTAGTATATTTATAAGTAAAGGCTGCGAAGGAAACCACATCAAATCTATAACCAATGGACCCAAAATCTTTTCTTCTATTCATAGCTTGTCTGATGGGCGTCGTCCATACAGGTATGTACCGCCAAATTATCAATTTGCACCCGATATCGCTATAAAGCTTGTTCGTCGATTTCCTTATAGTTTCTTTAAGGAAACAGAGACCTGCTTGAAGTACTGAACAGATACGCTGCTGATTTGAAGTACTTGCCTATCACATTTGGCACAATAGCTGGTGAATCAATTCAATTTTGGTTACTAGGTATTCTTTTTTCAGACACTGTAGATGTCAAAAGCTACGATTCCAGCATCGACGAGCAAAAGCATGGACAAACGCTTTTATGATACTTAGATCTGCAATACTAGGTATACTTGCAAAGTATTGTAACAATTTAAATAAATAAATCTGGAGTTGTTTATACATACAATGGTAATAACTACCATCTGAAAATGTATACCTACCTACCTCAGGGCCGTAGCCAGGGGGGTGCCAGAGGGTGCCTGGCACCCTCTGGATATTAAGTGGCACCCTCTGACCGATCTACATCAGAATCGTAAAATAAAAATGTACAATAGCACTTTCATGACTTCGTGAGCGAATAACTATATTCTCCAAATAATTATAAATTAATGCTATGACAAGACAATTGCAACGTATGGAAATGGAATAATTAGCCTAAGAATAAAGTTATTCCTTTCTTACATTTTTTAAGTTATTTTTAGCGCATTTTTTAAGAATTAAAAAAATTGTGCTATTGTTTGCGTTTTGTCCGCCCGTCCGTCCGTCTGTCTGTATATCCGTCCGTCCGTCCGTTGGCAGGATATCTCATAAACGAATGGACCGATTACGATGAAATTTTGTAGGTTGATTCTTTATCAAATTTGTAGATCGGTGTTCGTGAATTGGCAATGTAGGTCAAAAAATAAAAATGGCCCTTTTGACATCTTCGTTAGTTATGAACCGAATTTCATGAAATTCAAATGCGCATAGCTTTACCCATATAAAACGCAATTCCAAAAGTTGAGCATAATCGATCACCATTCACAGTGCCCTTTGCGCATCTCTATATACTATTTATAAACCGAATTGCAAACTTTCTTATTTATGAAGGTATTTAAATGAAATTTGATACCTAGCCACTTTGACTCAAAAAAAATCTAACGCCAGTTTCAAATTTTGGTGTTGCGCATACTTTTTGCTTTTTTGACAAACAAGTCTCTCGAGACTTCATTTTTGTAAACAATAGGTGCACCCTCCGACATTTTGTTTGCACCCTTACAATTTTCGTTCTAGCTACGGCCCCGACCTACCTACTGTTTTGTAATCAGTTCCCTACCTAATTTAAGTTAGAACTGAATTGTTAAAATGATCTGTATTAGTTTCGACGATTGCATAAAATTGTAAATAGCAACGTCGTTTAAACTCGCCATTTGAACTAGGTACCTATTAGGTACGCCAAAATTGCAAATGTTATTACAAGAAGTAAAGCTCGTTTTTAGCAACCGCGTGACATGACAATTTTTTGGTGTTAAAATACTTAATTATGGAAAAAGCTATTTCATCGAGAAAACTAGTAACTGTGAATTATGAGACTGGTTATATTTTTGGAGTTTGTTCACAAAGTTTAAAGTTAAAATTTCACTTTGAATTTCTAAATTGGAATTAAAGGGTGCCTAAAAAAAACTTTTAGTCGCTATTCAAAATCGAAATTTTAAACGTTTATGTGCCCTTTAGATACCACTTAAAACCATTACTTTAATTGTTTGGGGTACGAGAGCTGCACAATAAACAAATTCAAGCTAATGAGGGAATCATATACCATTGATACTTAAGAAGATACCTACCACATATGAGTTATGGATCATGTTCAATTTCAATTTTCAGGCAATGAGTTGGAAATGAAATCTCACTTTTAATCCTGCTTTTAATAGATGGGAAACATTTCAATTTTAACATGAACATCAATATTATGTAAAAAACGGTCCCAACTCTTTTAGCAGCTTTGAGTTATAACCTGAAAACCCAAATTTTGTATATTTTTTCAGGTGCTATACTCTGAAACAAAATTTCAATATTTGGAACACATTCGTAGCTATCAATTTTTAACTTGAAAGGTCCCCTAAAAAAGAAATTATTTCTTTAAAACGAATAGATAATTCTGAAACGAAACTTCAATATGGAACTTTGGAAAACAGATGCAATTATAAATTCTTCACAAAATTGTAAAAATTTACGTGTAGGTACCTACCTAAAGAGTGCGACTCTCGCTAACAAAGCGAGTGATATTCAAACTGCTCAATATCATTAGATTCAGAAGTAAAAATTCCAAACTGAAATTTAAAAGACATTTTTTAAACCTTAAGTTCTACCTTGAAAACTAAAAGATCTTTAATATAAAGCTATGCAAAAATAAATGGTAACGTAAAGCTAAAACTTCAAATTTTAGCGTTTAAAAGGAGCAAAATAATCGTTTTCAATGATCAATCTACACATATGCTCTAAAATTATGTAGATCGTATATTTTCTAAGATGGCGACCAAAAATATCTTAATAACGCGCTTTTGTGTAACATGTCTGCATACATTTTTTAACAAAATGAATTCAAAAATACTTTTGAAAATTACGTTTGAACTAAACTTTATTGCAAATAGGTTGGAAAAGTTGGAGTTCAAGAAGATACTTTGACATGGATTACACAACTTTATGCATGTCACATTTTCCCCCCTAAAACTGTAGTTCTAGATATTGCAAGAAGCTGGACAGGTAGTAGGGGGTACCGATCAAACACAACATGCACTTCTTATTGCTAATGAGATTCATATATAACTCAATATTCTCTTAATGGAGCTCCCAAATATCTCTAATTTTGAACGGCCCATCGATAAGACAACAGCTATTCCATTAATAGTTAGTTGAGTTGAGTTTTGGGCTGAAAAGTACATTTTATGGGCACTCCCTGTTTTTTTAATCTCCTTTTTTAATGAGGCATTTTTTGCTGACATAAGCTCGCAGTCCCCCACAGAGTACAGTTTCTATCGTCTTTAGATCTTTTTTGCAAGAAAGATGAAAAATACTTTAGGAAAAGTTCGAGAACTAATAATCTCTAAATTCATCAACATGAGCAGCCTTTATACACAAATTCTCAGCTTCTGGGAAATCTTGTTCATGTTGAAACTCCAGTAGCAATGTGTGCAGAAGTCTTGCAGAGTTAGCTTGTGGGCTCTCATTTCCTTTCCATAAGCTTTTCCGTTAAGAACGTTCGCTAATTACTTAGTATGAAATGTGCAGTCCATCTTTTCTTAGGACAATTCGAAGTCACTGAAGTAGAATATTCTATGGTAGAGACATCAGGATCAGAGTTGATTTCATTCCTGTTAAGTTAAGTCCAACCGATTTCTGTTTGCTCTATAGAAATCACAAAAGCAAGGCCCTCTACCCTACAATCCAGCACTGTACTTTTTAGCATTTTCGCGGTCAAATTAGAAGCATCATACCAAGAGTCATCTATACTGACTCTTTTTAAAGTGCGGTTGCTGTTTTGGCAAATAAGGCACAAGTGGGTAACTCGTGCAATTGTTTGGGTAAGTATTATGAAATGCTGCTCAAATTTCGACTTTTCGAAGTATTGATTAGTCTACTGTGATTAATTACGAAATATTGGTGAATAGAAGCACAAAATAGTGTTAAACAAGCGTTAATAAGTTATGTGCATTGAAATAGGCAATACAAGAATTTCAGTACCTTTGTAAAAACAAAAGATTTACTAGAAGTAGGTACAAAGAGTGTTATATGAAAAATATGCAAAAGAAAATAATCATAAAATAAGGATGAATACAGAAATGAAGATTTGTGAAGTATTATAGGTATAGTGATCCCCCTCTATAGAGAGGGGGTGCAGAAAATTTCAATATGTAGCTCAAAAAAACTAAATGTATTAATATTTTATTGTAAACTCAAAAGATGCTGGTGATGATTTTTTTATTTGGGTTAATTTTTAACCCAAAACAAATTTCTTTGTCCCAAAAACCAGTAGTACTGGAACATACCAGTGCACCTCGATCTGGGATAGGTAGGTATCCGTACAACTGTTACACCTTTGTTAATATACCTATCTTGTAATTATGGACGATATTTTAAAAGTAATACCTATGCTCTGTAATAAAGTGACAGAGTGGTAGGTATAATATAATTGGCACAGGTGGAACCAACGGGGTCTTGTACAGACAATTTTAATTAGGTACCGAATGTCCATAAAAATGTCCTAAGGACACACTTAGTAGGTACCATGGAAAGAAGAATTAACAAAAAGGAACATAAAGAAAACATAGAGAAGTCAAAGATAATGGCTATAGGAAAGGTAAATGGGACTAACAAAACAAATAGAGTAAGTAAAGGCAATAAATGCTTTGGGGTGCCAATTTATCTAAAGAGAATCAGGAGTGCATCCGACTATACCATTGACTAAGTCAAAATTCCCTGTGAACAAGGGAAAAAGAAAGAAACTATCCACTGCTGATGCCCATCTTTTTCCCTGCTACAGCACTTGGTAGTTGTAATTTCCACGATCTTCACAGGGTTTCTCTGAAACGCGCCCTCTGATGCTATGTGAAATCAATATTGTCAATATTAATTAACTAACTCCACTTACAGCTTAAAATTTATTATTTATTTAAAACGATTTCAAAATGGTATATTCTTGTGATAAAATTTAACAACACAAACGTCAATAAGTGATTTGGTAAATTGTAAAATTACAAACAAAGAACATTAGGAACTATTCTAATACTGTTAAATAGTACAGCACAATTTTAATAAAAGCGACCTTTTACAAAATGGTACATTTGCTCAGCCTTAGATGGTAACTTCCACGTTCTTAACAACATTAGTCCAATCGACTTTTGAGGGTGTTAGGTAAAAAGCGGGTGCAACTTGTGATCCACAGGGACAATGACACCCCATGACCCAACTAAAAGCACCAAGTTTTGTTTTACACTTAGGACAGTGCAGCTTTCCCTGGGTCGTTTGCGTTATGCTGCTCATCCACGACAGTGGCTCTAGGAAGTAAGTCTTACTGCAGCTACTCGACGACTCTAGATCTTGATGAGTTATTAAATTCGACTCACAAGCCACGACTCGCCTGCATTTCTTGCAACGGTAGCAGTTCGGTTCGGGTTCGATCCGTACGAGTCCAGGATCTGGTTTTATCAAGTCGAAGAAGTCTTGAGGTAAAATTTTGGTCCTCTTCACCTTGTCGGATGCGATTTGTAGACGATACAGTTTGTATTTCAAATGGTTCTTGTCAATCTTGTAACCCATTTCCCTGTAGAGCTTTAACTGTGATACAAATCCTTGGTTCGGACATACAATTGATCTTTTACTTCTCACTTTCTCAAATGCTGCACTGTAAGATAAGTGATACTTGTGCATAATGTAAGCTAGGACCACTGTCGCACTACGTGAAACTCCATAATAACAATGAACTAGCACAACACCATGTGCAAGGCCACTAGTTATAAACTCTTTGGTGTCATCTAGATACTTGAGTAGGTCTTCTTTTGGTAAATCGGAGAGTTGTATAAACTTTGTAGTTATGTGCTTCAGTTCTAAGATTTGACGGGGCAGAGGACACGTATCGATTGTTAAAATATGAGTTACTTTGTACTTCATTAACGTATTTATATCAGTTGCCGCTGATAGATTTCCAAGTAAAAATTGTGGTTCAATTGTGCTAACACTAATTGGGCCAGAATTATATAAAGAGTGTATAACATCTTGAGTATCACCATCGTATACAGCACCAGACATTTTTATTATTCTGCAATACATACGATAAAATTTGATTTGTAAATAAATACTTCAATTATACATAATCACAATTTAAATATAATAATAATTACATTTTTTTAATGTTTTTGTTGGTTTTTCGTTTTAGTGATTTTCAATATTTGGTTGGCAATATTTGTACATTGGTAATCATGTATTGTATACAAGTAATGAGAAAAATAATTGACCATGATTCTCACTGGATGGTCAACTATCACTGGCACAATTGGGCTTTGCATAGGAGAGCCCCAGTGCGGTTTCTGTGGTGAGGCAGATGAAACCACCGAGCATGTCATCTTCTACTGTATAACACCTTGACCAAAGACAAACATCGGTTCCTTAGCAGTTATCTGGAACCGGGGAGGGTGAAACAACATAGGCTAAACAGGGTCCTATCCTTTAATGAGAGGAGCGGGTTCTGAACCTAAGTTGCAAAAGAAGGAGGATAGGCACAATGGGTTTTGGTGGGCCTAAGTGCTACCTGATCAGGCTCCACTTATGCGAATAAAATAGACCTTCCAGCCCAAGGACTAAAGATCTGCTAAAACTCAGTAGGGATTTATACCTATTGACTATGTTCCACTATTAGAGCCATGGTGAATAAAAAAAACACTCGCACATGATATTGACTCTGTTGATGTGCAGGGGTTGCGGAGTGGAAGAAGAAATACCACTACATATTGTACACACCAGGAATGCTTCAAAATGCGCCTCGCAGGAAGTTTCGGCTCTTTTAAATGTGTTATAATAAAATCAATTTTTGTATTGCTGGTTTACCTTGTATATAAGTAACTTTATTGACAGAACCTGACCAGTGTCTTTCTTTTTGTTGTGTTGGTAATGTCAAAATAGCTGCGGAAAATAAATAAAAATGGCTCCTAGACGAAGTGCAAGATGTGTAAATCCAGCAAATTCAGTAAATTACGATAATTTAAAGCTAAACGATGTGCTGTGCCCGATATGTAGAAGTATTTTAATTGAACCAGTAACCCTACCGTGCAATCACGGTTTCTGTTCGTCCTGTTTCGAGAGTACTGTCGCTAATACAAACTTAGTTTGTCCACTGTGTAGAGTTCGAATTGGTTCGTGGCTGCGTACTTCGAAAAAGGATAACAAACTGGTGAACGTCGTACTTTGGAACGTTATACAGAAGCAGTTCCCTAAGCAGGTCAAAAATAAGTTGGACGGTGTAGAGGAATATCCCGAAGAAGTGCAGCCGCCACGAAGAATTACAGTTCCAGGTGAAATACGACGCGAGTATGAGGCCGAAAAGCACAAGACCGAATTGGAACTTCAAAAGGAACGCGCAGCTGAAGAGAAAGCCAGCCAATCATTGATTAAAAAGATACGCGACGAGGAGGAGTACGAGGAAGTGCTGCGTGAAGAAAATGTACGTCTAAGTGAGCAGGTGGCAAAGAAGTTGGCGCAGGAGTATTGTTTTGACCCGGGGCCTTCAAGTTCAGGGGTTACCGTAAAGAAACAAGGCCCTATCGATAAGCTATTGCAAAATTTAAATCATAAGAAGGTTACTGTAACAATCCAACCAGGTAGAAATGCTTCAAAGGAATATACGTGTAAAAATTTGTGCCAAAATAAGCCCATTCAAAACGTTAATAGATTATTTAATACGACAACTGCATCTAAAAATATACAAGATAAGTTAAAGAAGGTGATAACAGAACGTGAAGCGGCCGACAGCAATGATTCGATCGACTCTGAGTGTAGGTTCTTTAAACCGATCGAGCCCAAGTATGTTCCGTTACCAAAGAAGGTACCTGTAATCAAAGTTCCTGCTGTGACACGTACTGTTAGTACTGTTATTATAGGGTAAGTAATAATTTGGGGTTGTGTAACCAATATTAAACGAGTGTTTTCAGGCCTCCAAAGGGTGAAACAAATTTTAAGCATTCCAGTTTAGAATCGGCTTTTGTAGTAGTTAAGATTATGAAATGTCCAGTCTCAACTCAAATATCAAAATGTGATACAACTATAACGGAACTACCTCCGAGTTTACAAAATGTTACGGAAAACAAAAAGTTAGTCAGGTGTAGGACGCCAACGAAACGAAAGCGAGGCAAATCTCCACAAGTGATGCAAAAGAAGAGCAAAACGGATAGAAATTCCCCCTTCAGAGGTTTTGATAGTAATATGAATGGTATTACGACAAAAATCAATGGAAGCATCACCCACCACAATAAGAGCGTTGGTAAAGATATAAAGAAACGTCAGGAAGACGACGATTTCCAACTAGCTTTGAAGCTGCAAGACGAACTAAACAAGCGGTATTATAATACTCGAAATAATTACAGCGTACAAATAAAAAAACCGTTAGCTAGGCAAGTCACTTTAAAAGAAATCATGTCTCAAAATATTAGCAAGGTTCCGCAATAAGAATATAAGCTCGTTATTTGTAATTATTTATACGCCTACACATTTATTGTAACTATAACATAGCGATTATCATTTATGCTATATAGATCGAAAATGAAAAACTATTTACTCTCTATGATGATGTAAAGATGTGATATTGTAAAACTTCACTAATTTTATGTTAAGATTCACCTGTATTAACATTAGTCTTCTGAGGAATTACAATAAAATTATTTTTTTTATAAGGGCTACCACTACTACATTAATCCCTTATCTTTTAGTCAGTTTAGCTGTGCCCTTTTTTATTGTAATACCCACAATTCTAACAAAATAGTGGTATATTGTATATTTGTTGTTTTCTTTTAGAGTTATTTAATGACCTCTGAAATATCACGTGACTAATTAGCCTAGCAAATTTTAGTATTACAAGAGTATATTTTGGAATCTTATTTATAAGATTATTTTTTTAAATCGTAGTAAATAAGTTAAATGTAATATTGTATTCCGTACATTTAGTTGCCTCCTGCTGTGATTGCAGTTACTGTATGAATTTGTTTTAAATCGTTGTGTTTTTTTAGTTTTGTTTGTATTAAAAAAATAATAAAATTTCAGATTTAAAAACCTGATCAGTCTGGTTAATATAATGTGTGAATTTTTACCCTTAATAACACCATTAGAAATATGTTTTTGTAATACATATAACTCTTGGGATGAAAACATCGAGACTCCAGCCCCGAGTTTCTACTTAACAGCCTACTATGGAGCCAGCACCCACATTATCAATATGCAGTTTGGGTTAACACAGTAAGCAAGAAAAGGATAATGGAGTACTACTTTTACAGTTAAACACTCCTCCCTTGCTGTGCAAAACGTTCAGCAAAAAAAGTGAAAAGATGCTACTTTATTAGATTTGATGTAACCAGATCAGATGCATTCATTAATTTTTATAGACCTTTTATACCTAATAGGGAGTAATTCATATTTTTTGATTTTTCTATAAATGGGTTCTACTCACTTTATTACTACATATAGCACTTTTCAAAAAATCGCAAAAAAAAATTATTAATTGATTTAAGAGGTAATTTCTAATCGCTAACAGTGAGGGGCTAGAAAACGTACCCTGCAACGAGACTACTCACTCTGATGTCAGTAGCGCGCTTTCGTTCAAAATTGAAATATTGCCACTCACTAAGTGCAAGTATGAATGAACAATAGTGCAAGAGATACATGATCGCCACCGCTAACCAAAAGATGAAAATTCAATTTTTTTTACATTAGTTATAGGACGTTACGCCGGTTTGGTATTACCTACTCCTCAGTGCTACATTTTAAATAGCGTTGGGCACTATTCACTTAAAATTTTATGATCGAGGAGGGTAAGAATATGAGGGAGAAATCATTTCGCATCTTGCTCACAAACGGCTTAACGAATTTTTTCTATGTGGGGGCTTTATTTTCATATTGTGGGGAGTTTATTTTGCAGTGTAAGTTTTTTCTACTAATTTAACTTATCCTGCACCTGTTTAATTTTGCAACAAACCCATAAAGGAGCGACCCAACGAAGATATTACCATTGAATTTATTACTTATTACGACGACGAGGAAAAAGCAAGCAAGCAAGCAATCTTTACCTTAAAAAAAAGTGGGTTGAAGGGAACTGGACTAATTATAGTATAGATAGAGTACCTACTTATAGACACTCGCTTACCTGCAAGGCTGCAAATCACTCTGCAGACTGCAATGCATAAATGTGAAGAGGTGTAAAATTTTCCGCCAACCCTCTGTAACAATAAAATTAGCGGAAAATTTCAAACTCGTGTTACTAAGGTCAAAGTATACCTACATAGTTACTCCTACAGGATCGTAGCATTCCGACCACGCTTCATCGAGTTACAGGAAGCTGACTAAAACACAGCAAATAGCAAATTTATTTTAGCAAAATTGAACTGTGATTTACTGGAAACTTTATACTCATAGGTATGCAAGATTTTGGGTACAATACCAGATGCCTATTTCTTGTTTAAATCAAGCTGGATGTTGATGGAAAAAGCAACTCAAACAAAAGATTTGTTTGTAAGCACCATGGTCACAGAGTTCGATATTATTTGACGTGGAAAAACTGACGGCAGACCCCTTAAACCAGAGTAGAACTCAAGAATTGATGTAGTATAGGGCAAAGTGGTGCTGTACATATGTCTCTTTTAGCAGTAGCTGGTAGTTTCTTTACTGTGGAAAGTGACCAAGATAGTTGATTAGTTCACACTGGTGCAACTATAACCATATCCCATGGTTACTACAGCGAATGGAGAGTAAATTAGAGTCATTGGAGAAGGATCAATAACTGTAGAGGTCACTGTTAATGATAAAATCTTCTTGATGTTTGGTATGTAGCCAGCATAAAGGACAATCTGTTCTCTGTTCTTTCTGCTCAAGATAAACATTTACCTAAACAGCAAATTTATCTCGAAAGCTTCTTGAGAAATTACCACACTGTAAAGGTAGAAAGCTACAGTGGTGCAGATTATAGAGGAGACGAAACCACTATTCAAGCTAAAACTTCTAACTTTGCGTGGTAATGGTTTGATCTTGAAAATATAACAAATTATTCAATGAGGGAAGGTGTTTGTAATCAAAGAATTCAACCATCACATTTTCATAAATTTGTAGTACCTATGCTCTGTGAATGTTCAATGCATGAGTTATCAGGGCAACGCTTAAAAAATTAAAAAGATCGTTTTACTGTCATATTTGGGTGGAGTTTTTCTAATATAACGAATATCTACTATTTCCGAGTCACTATAAATCTACCACTGAATATAAACCTCAATTCTTGGGTAGTGGCTTCTTACAACACGCAGTGCCCTCTGCGATAGTGGTATCTTTTCGCGTCTCTACATGGGTAAACTGTACGTGTAAGGTTAGCATACTCATATTACATATACCTAAAAGACCTAGTTTATCAGAAGCATTTTGCAATCTTTCATGCAGTTACTGGAAGATACGATCATTGATACGATTTATGAAGGAATTCAGGAGCTGCGTCACGTTGCATTCTGCGGTGAAAGGGGAGAAGTAGCTGCGTTGGTTTTTTTAAATGAAAGGCACCTATCAATTGCACATTTAATTAATTTTCGACTAATTGAGGAATTGTCCTAAAGGCGACACCAAAATGTCCCATTTTGTATAATATAATCTGATTGCACGTTATATTTAGAATATTTTAAGGACGTAATCTATACCAGCATCTTACTGTAACTCGTTTGGCAAGTCGAAGAATTCATACCAATTAAAACACTTCGATGTGGACGAGCTTAAAAACTTAGTCGAAATAAAAATTTTCGAAACTGTTTCAGAAATGCTTTGTTTGACTGCTAGGGCCTCAGTCTCTATTTAAAGTTAGGAAGCTGCTCTTTGAATTAAAATGCGATAAGTTTCATCTACCTACTTTAAATGTCTTTATTTTATATGAAACCAATGGGACACAGAGAACCGTTAAATTTTGGACATTTGTCTTTGATAATACACAATGCCCCAAATCCAAAATTAATGTAAAAATATAGCAAGTTGAACTTAACGACAATAATGCCCAAACATGTCCAGATTATATTGGAAGGGGGGATAAATTTAATCCTACTTTCAAATTTGTTCTGCCACCCTCTTACAAATTTCAGTGTCCCTTTTGTGTTTCAATATTTAAGAACTCCATCAGTACCTATGTACCTGTGAACTCCTGAATTAGAACCATATTTTATTCATTTGGTTTGGATAGTGGGTATGTAAATTGATGGATGCAACAAAGGTATAGGTTTACACTTCGACAATTGTCCAAAAGTACAAGGTGTGGTGTTTTTTTGCGATTTGGCAAAGGATATGTAAATGCAAACGCGCTCGTTTGAGTTTATAATTCCAATGCTGATCACGCATGAAAAAATCGTAACCTTTTTCTGAGTTCGTCTAGTAAGTAGTAGTTCGTACAGTAAAAATTAGGGTACGGCCACAAGAGAACCCTCGACCCTTGCTCCTACACACGCGTTCGAAGCTCGGAGCACCGGTTTTTTGGCATCTTCTTGCTCGATTCTTAACTCAAGTGCTAAAAAGTGATACCTGTATACCTACCTTAACAAGTGTTAAAACAAGAAGATAGGTAGGTATATCCATTAAACGAGAAACGTATGAAGGTATGTTGTATGAAGAATTTCACCGTCCATATAAAGATTTAAGAAAAGACCCAATCCGCTTCTTTAATTTTTTGAGAATGAATATAGAAACATTTGATTATATTTTAAAACAATTTGGAGATAAACTGAACAAAAACTACCAGCACTGTCATCGCCAACCAATTGGATCTGAAGAAGGAGTAATTTTTTTTTCCATGCATCACCAATTAAATACAGCAAGCGCATTGGCCGAGGGTAAAAAAAGCTAAATTTTATGCGCGACACCTCAGCACCCACCCTCGCTCTTACTTATGCGCGGAAACATGCTCGACGCTCCAATGTGACCACACTAATCATTGCACGTTTATTTTTTTGTTAGCATCGCACCATAGCACCTATGATGCGATGCTATGGGCGGAGCGATGGTCGGAACTTCTTTATGTCCACACATTTCTACGTTTTTTTCTCTAGGAGACCTAAAACCAACGGGCCTGTATTTATTAAATAATTAGAGAAGTTGATATTCTATAAATGCGCTCTATCTGATTTTTTTGAGCGAAGAAATTTGTGCTAAGACTCGATATTAACAGAATCCTTAAATATGGATCCATTTCATTTTTTAAAGAGAAATACGTTAACTATGTGAACTGAATTCATATACAAGTTGAAAAGCTATAGCATCAAAAATAGATCTTATTATGACGCGGTATCCTAAGACTAGTTTGAAATCTAATAACGTCAGTGGCCTATTTAAAATATGGAAAAATATCTTGATTAGCACATGTGGCTAAATTGCTGAAAATCATCTGTAATTATGTTTGACCCATGAAAGGTCAGTTTGTAATTAATGGGCGTTTAACGAACACTATTAATAGTAAGGTTAGCAAGTGATTATTATTTGAGTATTACATTTTTTTGCTAGACCAAGTATGCCCAGCACATCCCAGGACAGACCACGTACACATGAGTGAGTTTGGGAGTTCAAACACCTCCCAAAAACGTGTGGGTTGTGATTTAGGTAATACCGTTGAGTGATAAGGATAATTACTCAATGGTAATACTTTTATATTCATCCGTTCAACCGTGCAAATTATTCCGATGCAAAGCATCAATGATAGAAAAATAATCAAATCAATAGATCTCCAAAACTTTTATTCTATGTATATACTTTGGCAAAGAGTATCAGTTGGCATGGTGTCATATCTCAACTAACTTCGTCGTTTCGTTAACCAACAATTATTATTGGCCACTTTGGCGCGTATTCTTCAACACCCCTAAGGAAGTATATCTGTTTTTGAGTTTCCTCTTTTTGAAGGCAAACAGGCAGACTTGAAAATGCTGGGTTGGACATTTCGCAAGATACGCTTTTTAGGTCATCCA